CAGGACTTCCGCCCTGGGGTTTCATGTAAGTGGAGAGGATCATTCCCACTTTGCAGATAAGGAAACCCAGGCTCAGAGAGGGACAGTGACCTGCCCAGTATCACACAGCTGCTCAGAGGCACAGTTCAGATTGGAACCCAGGGTTCTGGAAGCATCTTAACACTTCCGCTCATCCCAGACTACAGGGGAAGGACAGGAGTGTGAGCCTCTGCCCATGTGGTCAGCTGAGCTCACAGCCAAGGAGACGGGTGGCAGTCAGCTCGGCTTGAACCTGGGGTGCTGGGGTGGCCCATGGGGGAGCTGCAAGTTGAGTAGCAGGTCAGGATCTGCCTCCTCAGCAGAGTTAAGAGGTCACTACCAGGGGATCGAACAATAAAGACTTACCCAGTACCTCAAAGTCCTGAGGGCCAAATGGGATCCACAGCAGAGCCTGGGGACAGACACACAGGACAGCCTGAAGCCACCAGGGTTCCGGGCCCTGACCTCATGGCTGTCCTGTCACTGGACCTGGGGAGGGGCCACTGTCGACACTGTTTTACTGAAAGTAATGACGATGATGATGGCGATGGTGGAGGTGGTAGTGATGGTGGTGGTGATGGTCTGAGACCTAAAAGGTCCCCCAAAGCCTCACGTGCTCAGAGGTGGGATGTCCAGAAGGTGACTGGATCATAGGACACTCTACTCATCGGCGGGTTCATTCACTGATGCTTTCAGCAGTTCGAAGGCTATTAGGAGGTGGGTCCTTGTTGGAAGAGGTGGGTCACTAGGTGCGTGACCCGGAAATGTATATTGTTGTGCCCACTCCTTCCCTCTCTTTCTGCTTCCTGGCTGCCATAGGTTGAGCAGCTCTTCCCTGCCAGGCCCTTCCACCATGCCATTTTCGCCTTGGAGCCAACCATGGACTGAACCGTCTGAAACCGTGAGCCAAGTAACTGTCTCCTCCTCCCAGTTTCAGGTGTTGGGTGTTTTGTCCCAGCAGTGGTAAGGTGACTAACATGGCTGAGAACAGCAGTCTGAGGGCGGTGTTGGTGATGATCGAACATTTTATTGAATATGAGATGCCCAGAAATACTTTACACTTTTTCTCTCCCTTAAATTTGCATAACAACCTTATGAAGAACAGATTCCTGATTGCTTCTGTCTGACACACAGGGACACTGAGACGAAGGGAGATAAGGGATCTATGCAGGGTCGCAGAGCACGGACAGGACATGATTTGTGTCCACCACCCAGGGTACCACAGTCTGAGCACTGCACGCCCCAGCCCGCGCGCCCTGGGCTGGGAGCTTCCCGGGGACAGAGCCTCAGTCTGTGCTCTGTCTTGGCTCCCAGCTCTCAGCCTTGGACCTGCACACAGTGGGTGCTCAGGAAGGTCCAGTGGGAACGGCTTGTGTGCACTCAGTTGTACAGCTGTGAAAACCCTCCGCTGGTGTCGCTGCTTGGCTTTCTCAGGTGACAGGTGGGCCACTGCACAGGAAAAGCGTGTGGGTGGAGGAAAGAGTTCAGACAGTTGTTGGTCAGGCCCAGTCCAGCGGGCCAGATCTTAGAAGATTCACATCCCCAGTGTCTGTTGTCCAACCTACCCGGCCCCTCAGAATCCCCTCCCCAGCTCAGCCCGGGCCCTCAAAGACTGAGGGGCCAGGGGGGTCTGCAGCCTGCAGTGGGTGGACTGGGTGTGCTGTGGGTGGGCAAGGCCTGCAGTACCCCCCCACCCTACCCTAGCCTCCCAGGGAGAGGCCAGAGGAGGCTGCGATCCGTGGCCAACAGAGAGGGGAAGGAACACATTTTTCTCTAGCAAGCTGTTCGCTTACCAGCTGACTTCGGTGAAAGAAAGAAAAAATCCCGGCACCATCTGTTCCCCGAGTGGGGCTGGTGTGGGCCTGGGGCTTCCTGCAGCTCGGGCGGCCAGACCCAGTTTCAGAATCCCAGACAGCTGCCCCTGGACTATTTTGGGAAGCGGCTCAACTCCGAGGCACCCCAGCCTTCGAGGCCTTTCCCGTGACGGAGAAGCTGTTTGCACACCCAGCTCAGGGCTGCCGGTTCCTTCCCTGGTCCTGGCTGCTTTCCAGTTCGGCCCACTGCTATTATGCTGGCTTCCAGCTTCTGTGGGGTTGGACCGGAGTCGGGTTTCTAGAGATGGAGGGGAGATGCAGTGACGGATGCAGAGGCTACAGACAGACCTGGACGTGGGCAGGAGCTGCTCCACACCTTCTCCATCTCCTTCATGGAGACCGGTCCGCACCACCCTCAGTCCCAGGGATGCCCAGTCCTGCACCCTCCTCCCAAGGGCATCCTGTCCCCCACTCTCTCCTCAAGGGACGTTCCTACTCCTTTGAGTGCTAAGTCCGCCGTGGGTGGCCTGAGGACATCCTCCGTTTTGTCACCACTCCGTTCTGATGACATCACAGAGGCCCAGCTAGACCTGGGAGAGCTGGAGTTGGAGGGGCTGAGGCAGGAGACAGCGGCAGGAGGAGGAGGGTAACCAGGGATGGACAGGATGGGTGCTCAGGTGGGGGAGGAGCGGGTCTCAGGTCTCAGGCCCGGGACCGGGATGCTGATGCTGGACTACGGGCCGCCAGGGGCAGCACAGGAGGGAGGGCGGGGAGCGGAGCTGTGCAGAGTTTGATGTGGAGCGTCTGGGGTGGGCACCGCAGGGAGACTCAGAAAGCAGAAGGGCTGTTGCCTGGGGCTGGAAGTGGAGGAGGGCGGGTTCTTGTCTGATGGGGACAGCACCTCAGCTTCGTCCGATGAAGAGTCTGAGCTGGGCGTTGGTGCTGATCACACAGTAGGATTTCACTTAACACGGGGAGCCTTGCAGTTCAAGCAGGCATATTTTGTGTTATGTATATTTCACCACATGCAATAAAAATAGAGGAAAGAAAAAGGGGTTGGAGCGGAGTGGGGATGGCAGAGAGGCCCTCAGAGGGGAGGGGTGGGACTGCAGAGGCAGGGACATCAGGAGGAGAGGCAGCGTAGAAGGGCTGAGACCGTGCCGGCATCTTCCAGAAAAACAGAGAGAAAGGACCCCAGGGAGACGTGGGGCGCTGAGAGGAGGAGAAGCCGGGACGTCTGCACCCAGAGTCCAGGAAAAAGCCCAGCTCAGGGTGCTCGACGGCCAAAGCTGACGGAGGCCCTGTCGTCGGGAGCTCTGTCCTCGAGCCAGCGACGCGAGAGCAGGCCCTGGGCCCACCTCCCTGTCCTCCGCGCAGACTATCTGTAAGCCGTGGTTCCTAGGCAGCGGGTGGCAGGCGAGCAGGAAAGTGGCCCCTGAGAGGGGAGGAGCGGAGGGGGCATCCTGTGCGTGCCTGAGCTCACCAGCTGCGGTGTCCCCAGGCTGCAACATGGGGACAGGAACCTTAACACGGCTCAGGGTTGAGGAGATGGAATTTGGGGTGTGGAAAAACCAATACAGCTATATCGTATGGGACAGAAGGAGGTGCTGCAGAGAGTGAGCCCAGAGGAGTTATAGGCGTCCCCTCAAGTCTGGGGTCACATGTGGATGTCACATGCATGTGAGAGACCATCCCTAGCTTCCGGTGCTAGGGAAAGAGCCACGGGAATGGAGTAAGATGAACGATCCATGGAGCTAAGCAGGGCACAGTTTGTGATGAGCCCAGGGGGAAAGACCTTCTGACACACAGGACAGGGGCACTCACTGGGTAAACATTGTCCACCGTGGGGCCAGAGGACTCCTCGCATCTGCCCCAGACCCAGGCTACAGAGTGGAAGAGGAAACTTTCCAAGGGCTCTGGCTGATTCTGAGTGACCTAACTGCGCCTCAGAAAGAGCCCAAATACAGTGGGGGAGACGGGGCAGAAGAGACCCAGTGTTCAACACCACGCATTTTCACAATGTTCAGCATCCAGTTAAAACCACGGGGCATCCAAACTTTATGTGAACCACAACCAGGAGCAGAACTGCTCAGTAGAAGGAGACCCAGAAATAACACATGAGATGACAGAATTCACTGACAAGGGTGTTAACACGTCATTGGCGTTTATCGTATAAATAGACTGCACGTGTCCTCGAAGGTAGAAGAAAACAGGCATGTGATGGAGGGAAGTGGAGGATATTTTTAAAGACTCAAACTAAACTTCTTGTGATGATAAAATGCAACTTCTGAAGTGAAAAATACAATGGATTAAAGCCAAGTAGATGCCACCGAAGAGAAGATCAACCAACTTGGAAACACAGCAAGTGAAATCATTGAAATGGGAGAGAGAGAAAAAGAGACTGGAAACAAAATGGAGACAGGGCTGAGGGTGGCACTCAGGTGTAGAGCTCCTGCCTGGCATGAGTGAGGCTCTGGGTTCAAGCCCCAGCATGGCAATAAAAAATGCATGACTTGCCAGGCATGGTGGCACACTCCTATAATCCCAGCTCTTGGGAGGCTGAGGCAGGAGGATTGCTGTGAGTTCAAGACCAGCCTGGGCTACAAAGTGAGTTCCAGGTCAGTCTCAACTACATAGTGAGACCCTGTCTCAAAAAACCAAAAAATAAATAAAATTTTTTAAAAAAGTGCGTGACTTGTGTGACGATATCAATCCATCATGGCGAATGTGCTCAAAAATCTCTGCCAAACACGTTGTCTTTTTCTTAAGCAAAAATGATATACTGTGAAATTTATAAAATACTGGCGCAGTGGTCCTGTCCTAGGGGCCATGAGAAGGGCTGGGTTACTGACACAAGAGCGTCATGAACAATCCCAACAGCTTCATACTGAGAGAAGGAGACCAGACCCGGAAGACAACGTCCTGTTCGAAGCAGTTTATGAAAAATCCTAGAAAAGGTAAAACCATGGTGACAGAAAGCAGATCAGCCAAAGGGGCTGGATCTAAAGGGCCCCAAGGACTGGGCAGGTGGTGGATACCTTCATCTCAAGCCTGCTGCAGATGGGCACCTGCGGCACAGCTCTGCCAGACGCCGTCACCGTGCACGCTTAAGCTGGGAAAGTTAACTGCTTGTGAGTCATTCCTCGATCAAGCTACAGAAAGTTAATTATTATTATTGTTTGTTTGTTTGTTTGTTTTAAATCTGCTGTTAAATGGAACACAGTGAAGACTTGGGCCAAGCTGAGCTATCTGCACAGGGTGAGGCCCACATGTGGAGGGAACAGAAGAGACCCGGGAGTGGGGTGTGGACGTTGGCTTGCCCTGAAGCCTGGTGTGTACAGAGGTGAGGGTCCTGGCCTGTTCATGACCCCAGGATGCTCAGGGGGGAGGTCCCGGTGGAGGAAGGAGCCCGCACTCATGGTGTAGGAGAGGGATCCTGCCCAGGGGCACAGGGAAGGGGGTGGGGGTGCGTCTGATGCCGCTGAGGGCTCCCGCGGGGCCAACCTAAAGGCTTCGGTTTGCTCTATGGATCCGGAGGTGACGGGGCAGGTGGCTGGGATCCTGGTGGCACCCCCTTCTCAGACTGCCCCCACCCGTCATCCTGCAGAACATCCTCCCAAGCTCCGCAGGCAGGCCCGACAGTGGGGGCCGGGCCACCACCTCCTCTCCAGAGACCTCCCAGAGCCAAAGCTATCAAACTGTGACAGCCCTGAACCAGAAGGAGGGCAGGAGGAGCAGCAGCCAGGGCTGGATCCCCCGCACCCCTCCATTCCTCCACCCTTCCATCCTGCACGGCGCCCATCAGGCGGCCACTGCGGCCACGCTGGGAGCCATTCCCGGAATGACTGTGCTCAGTTCTACTGCAAGTTCCTTTTTCTTTACAAAAGATGCCAAGCCTCACTCGAGAAAGCAACGGCTGCTCCCCCAGGGACAGAGACGACAACGTGAGCCCACTAATCGACCACAGAGATTTCTTCTGTGTGCCTTTCAGGCAAGCCTCACACTCACAGCCAGGGGCTGGCCTGGGCCTCAGCTGCTTTGGCAAGTAACTGAGCTCACTCCCAGAGCAGCATGGGGCTTGCTTTTGGAGCCTCGAGGGGCTCTTGATTTTGGGTGGGGACCCCGGGATTGTCACCCTAAGTAGGAGGCAGGCAGGGGACAGCTGTTTGCAGGGGCTGGGTCCTGGCCATTGCCGACTCACAGCCCAGGACCCCAGGGGGGCCCCATGCAGCCACAGGACAGAACAGAGACTGCTGAGGCCTGTCACGGCTTGGGAATTGAGATCCCCTTTATGTACATGTCAGGGCCCTGCCCAGGACACCAGCTCCCAGCGCTCCCCAGGAATAAGTTAGCAAAAATAAACTGAAAAAGGCAAGCTTGACTGCAAATGGCTCCGCACCTAGAGGATTCAGGACACTCCTGCCAAGGGAACAGGACAGAGGCAGGAGAAATAGCTGTGGAGGGGGAGCAGCAGCTAATTTGGGGCTCCCCGGGGCATCCCGTCCTCGTTTGCTTTCAGTTTGTGCTTGCAGAAGAGGCTGTAGAGCACCCGCAGCGTGCTCTTGGAGTCCTTGTTCACGATGTCTGTGGGCCGGAGGGACAGGGCAGCCGGTCAGGCTGGCGGAAAGCAGGGTGACCCACTGTCCTGGGGTGCTGGGAGGCCGGGCTTCCAGTGCGGAGGCCAGTGAGTCCCCGGAAAACCCAGGCAGTGGGTCCCGCTGGGCCTGATCCTGCCCGGTACCCACCATGACCTGGCCTCTCCCTCGTTCCCGTCCAAACCTCGCCTGCACCTGGAGCGTCCCCCCAACACAGGGAGTCCTCAAGGTCTGCTTTCCCCGGAGAGCCTATCCCCAGGACCGCAGCCCCCACTCCCGGCCTCCTCCTCCTCCGTGGGGGGTAGGGGTGGGGCCACGGCGAGTCAGAGACACACTTGTCCCCGCGCCCTGTGCAGCACACTGACCTTCAGGGCTCACGGGTTGGCGAAGCAGCCCTTCGTCCTTCAGCAGGTCCAGGGCCAGCGTGACGTTGTGCAGCTGCAACAATAAGGTCCCCGTCAGAAGAGAGCAAACGAGGCGGCCCCAGGCCCATCCTGTCTCCCACAACATTTGTCTGCATCAGCCCAGACTCCTGCCCTGAACCACAAGTGACACCACACACCGTCGCCTTACACGCCCCCTGGATGGGGGGCTCACTCCTTCACACAAGGGGCCCAGAAGTCAGGCCTCAGCCCCTCTGAGCAAGTGTCACTCTGGACACACACACATCCAGAAGCCACCTCTACTGGGAAATACCATCACCGAGGAAGCGGAGGGGGAGGTGGCCCCAGGCCTGGCATCTGCCAGGGGAGGGCCTCAGACAGCCGACAGAGCGGGCACTCGTGGGTGGGACGGACCCCTGGGGACAACGTGTTTTCTTGGGCAAAGCGTAGTTAGGAACTCAAGGCCCAGGGTGGCCTCTGCCCAAGGCTGGAGGCTGCAAGAGCCACCCCTGGCCTCGTGCCTGTCCCTTCAGCCACCCCTTAACCTGGCTGGAGCCTCAGACCAGGGCCCCTGCAGAGATCGCTCAGACCTTGCTTTGTCATGGGATCCCTTGGGCTCACACCACATCACCTGTCTCCAGCCTCCACTGCTCACCTGTGGAGCGGCTCATGCATTCCCCTAGCCCCTCCCATGTTTGCCAGGGGACACTGGTGGTAGCCCCAGGAGCACCTGGGCAGAACTGCCCTCTACAGAGTCTCTGTCCTGCCCGTTCTCCAGCCTCCTGTGGGCCTCAGACGCCAGCAGAGCAGACTCTGCCTCCCGCAAGGCAGCAGCCTGGCACAGTAGAGGGTGTGGGTGCAGCAGGAGGAGTCTCTGATGTGCTGAGACCTCAAACAGAACTTCCTCGGCCAGCCACAGATCCAGGGGCCCAATGTCTCCGCCTGCTCCTAAGCCCTCCCATGGGGCAGATCCCATGGCAACCCAGAGGTGCCGAGGCCGGGCGGGGGCCACGCAGCAGATGACCCAGGCCAAGTGAGGCTCATGTGAGGCCCGGCCCTGCTTGCAGCCTCAAGTCTTCTCCTGGCTGGTCTGCAGGAGGAGGGTTGGGTATCGGTTAGTTGTTGGCACACTGCCCTGTCCCTCTGGCCAAGCGTATGGCCTCAGACAAGCCACCCATCCTGGCTGGCCTCAGTTTCCTCTCTGCGGTGGGGAGGCAGCCGCAAGATGCAATGGGATGGTGGCACGGGAGGGAGGCCACAAGGCCGGTGTGGAAGGAGCCCACGACAGGCACAGCAGCCGGGTGGTGGGGAGCAGAGTGCGCCTGCCCTGGAGGACAAGGGTGGGTACCGGACAGGGAAGAGTGTGGCTGCCGGTGGACAGCTTCCCGCAGCGCGGTCCTTGAGGGCGTCGGTAGGCATCAGGAACCTTCATGAGGATGCATTGTTTCCTGGGTTATTTGATCACAGAGCCCCTCATGGGGCAAGTGTTTCCGATACATTCGTTCATTCGCTTATTTTAAAATTATTAGTGCAGTGCCTGGGCATGCAGAAGTGGCTGGAAACAGGCACCCTGGTGGAGTTGATGCCTCGGGCATTGCTGACAGGGACACTGAAGGACGATCGCATTTGCTTCGGTCACACTTTTCCCGCTGAGGCTCCTCCCCGACCAAAGATGGGCTCCCAGAGAGCTGACCAGGCTGAAGACTGATCCACCACGCCCGCCCCGCCGGGCTTTTCCTGCCCTGCAGTTTGAGATGATGTGGGGAAAATTGTGCTGCTCCCCGCGGGGCCGAGGGCAGGCCACAGCCTGAAGGAGACTTCCGGTCCCTCCTGAGGACAGATAACTGCAGGTGAGGAGAAGCCCAAGGCTCCTGGTTCCTGGCTTTGATTTCTGCAGAGCAAACGGTCACTTTCCTTCTGCCCCCAATTTGTGTTTCCTGAATGAATGAGTCTTGCTGAAGCACCACGTACAAGCAAGGTCTGACAATGAAAAGTGCAATTTCAAGAGGCCACTGTGCCCAGCTAGCAAGGCCACAGGTGTCGCACTTCCAGAAGAGGTCAGCGGCACCACTGTCTTCATCTCTGACTTCCTACAGGGGCATTTTTAGCATCTACTCCTGGGGTGAGGGTTCCCCCATAGAAGATGAAAACTCCATCCGAGGCTCAGAGTTATGGGGCCACCACAATTCCCTCGTCTCCCACGGGGGTCCCCTGGTTCCCTAGGAAAGACTTGGGAAATTCTCAGGCTTTAGAGACACAAGATTGGGTGCCAGGCCCACCTCTGCCCTACTGAGCTGTGTGCTCTTGGCTGGATAACTGCCTTTCTCGGAACCTCCTGTGGAAGCTGCCTGAGGACAGCGCCCTGTCCACAGGCCTAGCATGAGGATCATCAGCAAGCCCCGCACAGGGCCTGGAGGAGGAAACATGCTTTTCAGGACTGTCCCATGTCCCCATCAAGGCCAAGGCCTCCTTGGCCAACAGAACTAGCAGGAAGGGATAGTGATTCAGCTCAGCCAGCCCCAGACCCTCTGAGCAGCCCATGAGACAGGAGTCACAGGAACGGAGCACCCAGCCCAGGGATCTGATCTCCAGCCGGTCTTTGCCCCACTGAGACCCCCAGCCCCACTGCAGATTCATGACAGTAATTCACTGGTTTCCACCACTGGCTGGTCGGGTGGCTTCTTGTGCAGCATTTTTAAGCACTGGGTAGTAGACAGATTTGTATTACTACCACCACCACCACCCCTGCCACCAGGGCCAAAATTACTCATGGCTCAGCCTCTGCCCTGGCCCAGGATCCCTGTTCTCTGGAACCCAAGCCTCAGGGGAGCCGGCCTGACCCTCGGTCCCTGGGCCACACTGCCCGTGGAGGGGAACGTATTTCTTCCTCCCCAGCGAAACCTCAAAAGGCTGACCTGGAATGGTATCGGCCCTGCTTCGTGTCACTGCATGGGAAAGGTCCCTGGAGCAGAGAGACACGAGGGGAGCTGGCCCAGAGCTGGCCCTGGTGTGGCCGGAGGTGAGCTACCACCAGGGGTCCTGGGCAGGCCACCAGTCCTCAGCCACATCTGAGGGCTTCACAGACTCCTCCTGATGGCTGTGGCTGGCCAGATGAAGGCAGGCGACAGGTCCGAACTTCCTCCTGCCTCACCTTATTTGGCCTGAGGGTAGACAGGACAGGGACTAGCATCCATTGCTGAGATAAGAAGCCCCAGGTGTAGGCAGTGAGCCGGTTGTGTAACAGGTGGAAACAGCGAGGCAACACTCGCCCTCTGCCAGACCACAGGGTGGCACCGCAAGGGAGGTGGTGAGAACTCCCATGAGTCCCTGGCCTCACGGGATGGGGCCCCCAGCAGGAGAAGAGCCGACTCAAAGGCCCAGAGGCGGGAGAGGAGCTCGAGGAGCTGCAGCTGTACAGCAGGGGCTGAGGGGCAGGAGCAGGAGCCAGCTAGACACACGGCTTCCCGGGAAGCCTGTCAGGTCGCCATTCCCAGGGCTCACCCGATCACCTCCTCCAAACCTCCTGATCTGCCCCAGCTCATCCTCCCCCACCTTCTTCCTGGGGTGACCACACCCCCTCCAGCCCGGACCCCCACAGCATCTCCCAGCCACCCCCCCGGAACCCCTGTCCCAGGTCCGGCATCCCAGAGAACCCTAACACCTTGCTGAGAGGTGCAAGTTCTGACCCCTCCCCTCGAGTGCCTTCCTTCTCCTCCCTAACTCTGCAAACCCAGCCATCTGCTTCTGACACAGTGCCTTCTCCGACTCCTTCCGATTGGACTGACCGCTCCTTCCTCAAAGTCCCCGCCTTGCCCCGTGCACCAAGGAGCTGCACACTGTGAGGCCCTGGAAGACCGTAATCGGTGGGAGGACAGTGGATGTAGACAGACAGGCCTCAAATGCTCGGGCTGTGTTGGTTGACTCTGTTGTGCGGCATGGGGCCTGACACTGAGCTGACCCCCCAGAGTGAGGGGTGCAGTGCGGATTGGGTGAGCAGACGGATGGACCGATGGTAAGACGGCAGATGGACAGTTGGGAGGATGGATGAGCAGAAGCTCAAATGGATGGGCAGGTGGGTGGAGGGATGGGAATGTGGGTGGACGAATAGATAGATGGATAGGCAGATGGATGGACAGACGCACGCATGCACGGATGGATGGATGGATGGGCAGGTGGGTGGATGCATGGGCATGAAAGTAGGTGGGTGGATAAGTGGACTGAATAGACAGATGGGTGGATGGATGGATGGATGGACAGACATATAGACAAATAAATTTCCCCTTCAACCTTCACTGCCAGCTCTGTAGATCTGTCCACCCAGAGGTAGAGCCCAGGAAGATCTTTGGGAAGCTTACCATTTCTGCAGGAGAGCTGGGGGTGAGGTAGAACTCCTTTAAGTGCAGAAAGAAGCCTCCCAGCTGTCCAATGAGCAAGAGTAAGATGACGCCATCTGCAAACTACAAAGGAAGCAATGAGAGGCTCGGGTGTGGGAGCCAATGAAGTCTGAGGCCCCCACTCTGCCTCTCACAGGCTCTGTGACCCTGAGGAAGTTGCACAACCTCTCTGAGCCTGGGGTTCTGTTTGGAGAAATGCGGAGGACATTCCCAATTTGTATCCTGCAGGCAGCAGCAATGGTCTGTCTGGCACACAGTACCTGCTCAATAAAAAAAGCTATTTCCCAACTTGCTGCAGAATAACTTCACATCAATCTTTAAAAGACAGTGTCTCCTGCAGAGACACTGAATTAAACAGAGGTAAGTGTACAATTATTTCATCAGAAAAGGCAGGAAACAGTATACACTGGGCCCCTTTGTGGCTGCCACATTAATATTTCTGTGTGTTCAGAGATAAAGCTGTCATTTCTGCCGCCAGCACCTCATGTGCTAATGTAATCCTATTGAATCTCTTCAAAGACACACAACACTAGATTGGATATTGGAGGAAAAGCCACTGCTCTGAGTCCTCCATAGAATTTCTGCTTTTTTTAAAACAATTATATAAGGTCTTTATTGTCTGATACTAAAACTTTACAAAAAAACATTATAATAAAAGAAACCAGCCGGGTGTGGTGGCTCACGCCTATAATCCCAGCACTTGGGAGGCTGAGGCAGGAGGATTGCTGTAAATTTAAGACCAACCTGGGCTACATAGTGAGTTCCAGGTCAGTCTCAACTACATAGTGAGACCCTGTCTCAAAAAAAAAAAAAAAAAAAAAAAAAAAGAAACCACAGACCAATTCAATGTCCCCCACGAACACATGGATTGGCTGCTTATCAATACTGGAAAGAGGTGTTTACGCTGATAGGTTTGCAATTTCTTTCGATAGACCCATTATTGCTTGCTTTACATATTCCAAGGTTGTTATATTTAGAACTGGTATAACTTTCTGGTGAACTGAACAGTCTAATTCTATATGATCACTCTCTTTGGTTCTAATTTTTATTCTAAAAAAAACAAAACAAAAATCTTTTCTTCCCAGGCAATAGATCTGTACTTATTTCCTTTGTGTTAGTGCATACCTGGTAAACCTCTTTCCAACATTTTCATCATGCTTCAGGTATATGTTATAAAAACATCTGAACCCTCTAATGTTCTAATTTGACATTACTGTCACCTTACATTACGGATTCTTTACATTTGCCTGGATTCTTGGATGATTCTTTTATTCCTCCCTTGATTTCTGTCTTTTCTGTGTTTTCGTTCATTTGTTTGTTTTTGTTTTTTGGTCTTTTGTAGTCACCATCTTACTTCATCAGTTTATCCTGACAGTTCTGGGGTTTGTGTGTTCTTTTAACATTAGTTGTAAAATTTTACTCTAAATAACTTTACATCTGAACAACACATCAGCTCATTCCCACGGAACGACAGAGGCTCTCTGAACATATTTTTATCGTCCCAATCTCAAACTAGAATCTCCTCTTATTGTGTCTGTTCCGATGTCATTAGTTCGGGCCTGAAATCTGTCCTGCTGATGTTCCTGGCTATAGTACACATGATTTGACATCCGTCCTTGTTTGTCGGCCTCTAAATGCCATGCCCAGTCTTGCTGGGATTTTCCAGTGCCAGCATTTTCCCAACGGAGAAGCAGGGCTCAGTAAGGTAGAGTAGAAACCTCAGAAACCTCCTAGTTAGACCACGTAAAGTAGAACAAAGCCACAAACGCACCACTGACTACAGGTCGGCGGTGCTCCACGTACGGGTAACCTCCCTCTGCTCATCAACTCAGTATGACGTGGGATTGAAAGATGAGATGAATATTGCAATTTTTAAAAATGTGTCATAGTAACAGGCACATCGCCAAAATATCCCCCTCACTTTAAATTCACTTGTCCCATTGCTGCAGCCACTTTCTGCAGCGGTTCTGGAAGTCTTCTTTCACGCGTGTCTTTAGTTGCGCCGTCGTGACTGCCCCAGGGCTCTGAATCGACTCAACATGTCAACCTTCCACGGTCCTTTTGACTTTGGGGAAGAGCCACACAGTGCCGGACCCGGGGAACGAGGCGGGTGAGGACACACCTCCATCTTTTTACAAGCTGCCTTTTCCACACTGGCTGGCACGCGGCGGCAGCATTCACTGGGTTTTTGATCACAGGAAAGAGGATTCCAGAGCTGCCTCAGAAAGTGGCAGGAATTCTAGGATGACTGCGTCGGGAGTGACGGGGAGGATTTGGATGTTGTTTTCTTTGGGACCAGGGCTCGAACTCCGGCCCTTGCGTGGAAGCACTGAGCCAAATACCCAGCCCGTAGGGGGAGGATTTTGAAAGGGACTAATAACAATGTGTCTTTTTTTTTTTCCAGTACTGGGAATCAAACTCAACCCAGCCCGGGGGGAGGATTTTGAAAGGGACTAATAACAATGTGTCTTTTTTTTTTTCCAGTACTGGGAATCAAACTCAGGACCTTCCCTCTCCGTACCTTGGTCTCCCTGTCTGTGGTGGGAACACTACCGAGATGGGTGTGGGCGGCGGGTGCGGACGGGGTGACTCCGTGTTGCAGGCCCTCAGGGAGCCTCAGGCAGGCACAGTGCCACTGAGCCACTATCCCCGGCCCTGACAGTGTGTCTTTTACTGTAATGAGTATTTTGGAATTTAAACGCTCACCATATATTTCAATCACAGCTCAATGTCCCAGTCCTTTAAGGTAGGTCCGTATCCTTGTACCCATTTTATACAAAGAGGAGACTGAGGTTCAGAGAAGTCCAGTCATTTGCCCAAGGTCACACAGCTGATGGAGAGGTGTCCTCAGAGCCTAAGGCTCACAGTGATGGCACAGGATGGAAATCCCTGTCCGTCTGACACCAGGTTTCCACCCAGCGCACCACATCTCCACCATGCACAGACCTCAAGCAGCTGCCTGGTGGAAAGTTCTGAGCACAGATTTCAGCAACAACTCCCTGGCTTCAAATCCCAGGGCCACCCTGACATCCCTGTGTGGCTATGGATAAGTTAACTAACCTCTCTGTGCCTTAATGCCCCCCCCCGGCAAAGTGTGGGGTGATCTCAGCTGCCCTTCTGGGGCCAGGTGGGGACTCACTGCATTTGCATGGTCACAGGACACATCCTCTCGGGGAGGCCTGGCTCACAGTGAACGCTGCCTGTGCTCTGTCCTGGGGTGCTTTGGTTCCAGTCACCTGTGTGCCTGCCACACTAGCATACCTTGTAGGTGAGAAGTAACACTGCGGAGAGGCTAGCTCAGGCCCGGGGCTCCTAGAGGTGACATCTCCTGGCCACACAGCAAGTTCCTGGCCTCCTTGGAACCCTCCTCCCTTCCCACGCAGTGGCCCCTGGCCACCTACCTACCTGGGTGTCCAGGTCCTGCACCGACAGCCCCAGGCGCTCCAGCTTCTGGTTGACAAAGCTCACAATAGCCTAGGCAAGGAAAAGCAAGACCCCAGCTGGGGGTCTGGTTGCCACCTTCCCGCCCTTCCCACCCCACAGGGTCACCTGGGATGCGGTGGCCCAGGGCAAGGACCCACAGGGCCCCTGGGTGTGCATGGCGGGATGGGCAGCCCAGAGCACACAGGCTGGGATCTCCCCTACCTCCTTCATGGAGCCCACTTTCTCCGGAGCCAGCTTGAATAATTCATCAAAGATGTCCTCTGCAGACCCAGAGCCGGGAGACACCTCGTTACTAGCTATCGTCTTTGCACCAAACAAGGAAGATTTCCCCTCCGGAGTCCAGAGGGAGTGATCATTTTCTCCCACAGATAAAATGGGCCTGAGGGAGTCACCTGCCCTTTCCGTGCCTTGGTCTCCCTGTCTGTGGTGGGCACACTGCCGAGATGGGTGTGGGCGGCGGGTGCGGACGGGGTGACTCTGTGCTGCGGGACCTCAGGGAGCCTCGCCCCACCTGCACTGACCCAAGCACTGTGCCCACTCAGCTGCCCCACTGCCGGGCACCCAGCCACCCTCACCACACAGCCCACAGGTGCTGTTGCCACCCGCCAAGGCTGCACCCCAGGTCTTTGGGCTGCAGAGGGGGGGACATCTGGCCTCTCAGTGTGATCTGCGGCAACTGAGCCACTCCTGCAGCTCTGGGGACACAAAGAGGCCTTACGGCTCAGTCTGGGCCCAGCCTGAGTCCTCAGACACCTGAGTCCTCAGACTCGAGCTTTTGGTGCCACACTGGGCCTGCGATCAGCAGCCAGCACAGCTCCCGGTGCACTGGGCTTCAGGACCTGAGCATCCGGACCAGTCGGAGGCTGCCTTTGGCTTCTGTCACTCAACAGCCATGGGACTCCAATAAAGTCAATCCGCCCCGCTGGCCTCCATTCCCTTGTTTGCAAAGGAAAAGTTCCAAGAGACAGATGGCATCGTGCACCTTAAAACACTTGTGCAGGGATCCGCAAGGGGGAACACCCTGGTCCCCACCAGGCCTTGGGCTTTGGCCAGAACAGCTGTGTTGCTGAGGGGACCAATGTTCCCTGCGTTCCTGTCCTCACTGTGACGCCTTCGTCACGCTGCCCCTGCCCCAGACGCTGCTCCCGGCCCCACCCCACACAGACCTCCAGCACCCCCAACCCTGCCTGCCTTCCTCACTCAGCCTCCCTCTCTTGGAGGCCCTCACAGGTCACTGTCTGCTTCTGTATGAGGGGCCTCTCATACCACCCTGCCCACACGGCCGGGGCCTAAGTGGGGGATTCAGGGAGGAAACAGGCATTAAGAGGGAGGGAAGGAGGGACGGTACCCGTGGGTGGATGGGTGCGTGGCGTGGACGGACGGAAGGATGTGTGGCAAGTGAATGGATGAATGGAGAGATTTACATGTGGGTGGAAGGGCAGACGCGTGTGCAGCTGTATGGGTGGAGGAGTACGCAGGTGGGACCTGCATGCAAGGGCAGGTAGACGGATAATGAATATGTGGGTGGATGGGTGGATGGGTGGATGGATCGGTGGGTCGGAGGATCAGGGGATGGATGGATGGGTGTGTAGGTGGGTGGATGAGTGGACACTGAGCAGACCACCTGACCAAGGAATGAGTACAAGAAGTAGAGACTGAATATCAACCGGTTAATCAGTGACCTTCTCCATCAGGACAGCAGCAGAGCGCTCTCCACTGCCAAATTCAATCACACATCATCTCTTTTGTCCTCACTACTAGTTTAAGAAGTAGGTGTCATTATTACTGATGCCCGTTTGTAGCTGAGGAAACTGAGGCACAGGCAGTGAAGGCCCCTGGCAGAGCCCACGTGGCTAATGAGGGGAAGATTAGTTCTCAAACCCTGGTTCTCTGGCTCCAGAGCCCACACAGCCACCGACTTCTGCCAACACCATCCCGACGTGGCTAAATCTCTGTCTCCAAAGGAACGGTAGCAAGGAGCCAGCTCCACAGATGGACAGACGGACAAAAGGAAGGACAGGCAGACAGGAAATAGGCCCGAGGAAAGGAGGGGACACCCCGGAGGTTAACCATCCTCCCTGCGTGTCCGCCCTGACCCACATCGAAAGGAAGCTGTGCCTTCCGTTTGGAAAGTACTCACTTGGAGCTTGGTCTTTGTCCGTGCTAGGGAAAGTTGCCGGAGAGAGAAAAAGCAAGCAAACCGTTAGAGAAGAGGCTACAGACCTAAAACCTCCCCACGCCAAGCTCAGCACCCCAGGTCGCAGGGACAGAGCATACTCTGCTTTTCCAGCAACCTCTGGAGCAGATCAAGCCCCTCTGACCACAGCCCTCCAGGAAGGAGCTGGGTCGCCCAGGGAGGCGGGCAGCAGCCTGAGACAGACTCGGGCTCAGCACAGGCCCATGTTGCTGCAGGATGACGGTCCCCATGCTGTCCACAGGTCCCAGAGGATGCAGCCCACAGCTTGACAGCAGCCCCGTGATACATGACAGGCCAAGGAACCCCAGCTAAGCTGCCCCCGGAATCCAAGAATGACCACCAAAACTTCAAGAAGAGCAAACATTTGCAAGGGTTTGAAGATGCTCAATCTGGGCATACTTGTTACGCAGCAATCAATAATGGATATAAGAAATCGAAGACCAGGGGCCAGGGATTTAGCTTAGAGGTTCCACCGCCTGCCTTGCAAGCGCAAGGACTCGAGTTCGATCCCCGGTACCAAAACAAAACAAAACAAAAAAAAAGAAATTGGAGACCTTGCCTGTGACCAGCCGCCGCCCCATTCACCCACCCACATCCCCGTCAAAGCCAGCTGCCTGCGAAGGCCGTGAAGGAGGAACAGCCGCCGGGTCCCTGTGGCCCAGCTCCCTCCTGGGGACCTTGGGCAGAGGAGTTTTGTTGCATTGGAGGCAGAGAATCTCACCTCGGGGTCAAGGGGTGAAAAGACAGGGACAAAATCAAGAGAGTGGGGGTGAAAAAGAAATCTGCTGAGGACGTGCTGGTGACGGCCACACTCGGGGGGCCCAGGAGCTGCCGGGACGGTCGCCCCCTCCCCAGCAGTAGTGGGTCTCTGCCGCCCACGTGGCATCACGAGGACAGAGAAACGCTCTGCTGCACCCACGCTCCGGACCCACACTCTGTGTTCCCTGGACGCCACCCCAGGGAATGCAGCAGGGTGGCCGGAGGAGGCCAGGCAGGGACCCACAGGGGACTTGAGTGCTGCGGTAGGGTGGAGGGGACCTCGCGGACGGACAGGACCCCCAGCCCTCACCGGCTGTCAGTGAGCAGCTCCACCGACTTTTCAGACTTGAGGCCACTCTTGGTGCTCTAGGAGAGGAAACCGAGGAGCAACGGGGTCACCCTAGAAAGCTCCGGGGCCCCTCCTGGCGGGCCCGGAGCAGCCCCAGGAGCCCCGGTGGCTCTGTCTCGTCCCCTCCCGGGGCGCAGTGGGCAGTCACTGTGGTCTGTGGGAAGGCCCTTCATGAGCCTTGAACCCACAACGACGGGGACCATGGCCACCTCGTTCCCTGCGGCGGCTTGAATCTGGGGACAGTGTGAGTGATGGGGCGGGCATGGGCGGAGACGGCGGCAGGGAGAAAACCAGCGTCATCCCCTCTGCTTCAAACAAGTAGGAGAGAAGAGAGTGTGAGTGGGCTCACTGCACAGAACGGGTCGGGAGGACTTGCTGGTCCCGTTAGGAGGAATCAGGAGGCCCTCACCCTGGGACCGCGGGGCGGGGAGGGAACCCCAGCAGGAGCAGGAGGGTTCCTGGCTGTGGTGCTCAGGGCACAGACCGTGTCTCCCGGCCCTTGGGAATCCCGCCTGGGTCACCCCTGCCCCACGCGGCCCGGGGCGCAGATGTCAACTCGGACAGATGGACACCCCGGCCCGGCTGTTTACCTCAATGGTGACGACCTCCACCCGGACATCGGGTGGCAGGGCCAGGTCGGGCTGGAAGTGCCGGGCCAGGGCCACCAGGAGGTGCAAGGTGGCCAGGAGGTCCTTGCTGAAGATGGCTGTGAGGGGAGAGGGGCGCAGGTCAGAGGCGAGGGTGCCTCAGAGCAGCCACCAAGAGGAGGCCTCCTTGTGCTCAGAGCCACCCTCTGCAGACTAATCACCACCATCCCAGCTTCCTAGCTGCACTGTGTTTTTTTATTAGTGCTTGACACAAGTGACTCCATTTTGATTCTGGCAATTCTCAAACCTCAGGAAGCCAAGAGAGCAAAGCACAAAGCCACAGAAGGACACACCCTCCACCTCTGGAATCTGCAGTGACCACCGCTGGCCCTGTGAGCACAGCTGAAGGGTGCAGGCCATTGAGGGGACGGGGCTTTAGACGGGGAGACGTTCCCCACAGCACTATTTAGATGGGACCACAAAGCTCCCAGTCTGCGCGGCTGAGCCATCGTCAGACATAAGGCGCCTGTGACTAACTCAGGGTCACCACGTAAGCAGGACGGGACCCCACCTAGCTGCGTTTAGAGATGGACTTTGTGTTACAGTGCTACTGCCCAACCTTGGAGGAGCTCAACCCCTCTGGGCCTCAGTCTGCCCATCTGGAAAATGGGGAGGAGACAGAGAATTGAGTGACAAAAAAAGCCTTTACCCAACAGTTAACGGTGCAGCAGGGTGGCCTGAAGGTTTCATGCTCTCTTGATTGTTAAGTCAGGCGCTGCAGCTATTGCTCAAGCCACTCCGTGACACAGCAGTCCTGTCTCTGGTACCCGGTGGCTGCTGTCACCCTGAGCTTGCTCTCCACCAGACACCAGACTTTGAGCCCAACTCTGTGCTCCTCTCCTGGCTGCCCTAAGGCTTTTGCCCGCCTGCCCCCTGCATACACAGCTGCTTCCCCAGCTGGGCAGCTCCTGGGTAAATTGGAAGCTGGTGCCTGCCCGCCCTGGCCTGGCCTACAGCCACGCACCGTCCACGCTCCACCTGTTCAGCGGCGCCACTGCCCGCAGGCTCTGGTCCACGGCCCCCAGCACCACCTCCAGCTTGCGCCTCTGGCTGGCTGCGTTCAGCGCAATCTCCTCGGCCTCCAGCTTGAGCCCCGCCAGCTTCTCTAAAGCAGGAGAGCGTGTGAGGGCTGGAGAGGCGGTGCGGGGCGGTGCGGGCACCCTGATGTGGGGGCGTCTGGCCAGTGCACCGGGCAGCACAGGTCATGTTCTGGGAAGACCCTGTCCCCGAGGGAAACCGGGCCGGGGAGGGGCGTGTTTCGGGGCTGGTCACAGACCTTCCAGCTGCCTTTGGTGGCCCTCACGGCCTGGACCTGCACAGCCAAGACTGCTTCATTCCCACGGGGCAGTGCTGCCTAGTGGTTAAAGCCTAGGCTCCTGGGCTCAGGTCCTTTCTTCCTTTCTTTCTTCCTTTTGATGGTACTGGGAGGTGAACTCAGGGTCTTCCTACTGAGCCAGCCCTTCAACCCTTTTTTATCTTTTAAGACAGCATCTTGCTAGGTTGCTAAGTTGCCCAGACTGAGCTTGAACTTGCCACCCTCCTGCCTCATCCTCCCAGAGTGCTAGCGTTAAACATGTGCTACTACTCCGACTGACCTCTGCTTTCTTCACTGTGATACTTGGACATGTCACTGGCCTCTCGGAGCCCCATTTCCCCGTCTGTAAAATGGGGCAGGAAGCACCCAGAGCTGTTGACAGGAATGACCGCACCTGCCTCTGGGAAGAACCCAGGAAGCCTTTGCTGTGGCTGGCAGGAGGCTCAGCAGACCTGATGGCCCAGCACAGCTGGGTGCTGAGGACACAGTGCTCCTCCACCAATACTTCAGGGTAGCAGACAGACTTGGACACCCTACCCTGGGTGCCAAGGCAAGCACAGCTCCAGGGCATGTAGAGGGCTGGGAGGTAGCTCTGTTTGTGAGGGGCTTTGTAGATGGAGCTTTGCTGATGAGGTAGGAGCACCCCAGTGGAAGCCCTTTCCTGCCCCTGGATGCCCAGGTCACTTCGCCTGGAGGACCTGCTTTCCTCCCAGCAGCCCTGAGTAGCCTGGGGGAGGGACAGGGGGTTCTTAATCACTGGCCCCTAAGACCAGCAGGGGCTCAATAGATGCCGGCGAGGCAGGGCTGTGCCGTGAGAGAGCCCCACCGGACATCAGACTCTGAGGAGCCAGAGCCCCTGCGCATGACAGGGGGGATGGCAGGGAGCTGGTGGGGTCTGCAGGGACCGGGCTGCACATGGCTTACGGAAGAGGTGGTGCAGGATGAGCCCATCAAACATGTCCTCCTCCAGGCTTCGGACCACAATGTGCTCCGGCAGGAGGGTGGCGTTGACCCACTCCATCAGCACCTGCAGCCCAGAGGGCACAGCCTGGGTACCCTCATCCCTTCTGAGGACTCCTAACCAAATTCTGACACCTGGCCAAGGTCACCTCCTCCAGGAAGCCCTCCCTGATCCCTGGGCCTTCAGGGAGCCGCTCTGGGCTACACAGATGCCAGGCCTCTCCACCATGCCCTGGGACTGAGGTCTGGTGCCCAGAAGTGGGCACCACTGTCACGGGCACATAAAGATGTGGACCCCGCCGGGGAATTGGCAACGGCAACAACTGGGTAACAGGTACCCAATAAAAAAGGCCCAGGCAGCCTTGAGGAGGAGCTGTGGGGCTTCCCCCCGGGCTCCAGGTCAACACCGGTTGTCAGGACACACAGGAGGCGAGGGGAGCGTGGATGCCAACCAAGGGACGCACGGGGGCACCAGGGCCTGGGCCAGCACCTGTCACACGACGGGAGCAGGGGCCAGGTCCCCTCAGGCCTCCAGACACCGCCAACACCTCGATTGGGTGCCCGGTGTAGGGCTGTGCCGGGGGGGTTTGCCGAAGGTGGGAAGGGGGTGAGGAGGCGGCACCCACAACATCTGAGTGGGGACGGTGGTGCAGGCCGGAGGCCTTCCCGGAGGAGGCAACAGAAAGGCAGCATGGAGACCAGAGGAATGGGGCAGAGGGCCAAGGAGGCGGGGCCCTGTTTTGTGCCAAGTGGCTCAACAGTGGCAGTGGCACAGTGATGACCAAGGTCGGAACTGAGGGCTGAGGGCTGAGGGCAGGGCTGCCGTACCCTTTGCAGTTCTACAAACTTGGGGTCCTTCCGGGCATGGGCTGGCAGGTATTTCTTCTTTTCTCCTGGAAGCACAGGTGGGCATGACGTTTCGGGGGGCTGGGGACACCTGGCAGCCCTCTGCATCCCCGCAGGTCACCCTGTTCCCCTTGTGAACACCAGCATCACCCAGATGCTCAGGGGTTAGGATTTGGGGCCACGTCCAATGAGGGATGGACTGCTCCTGCATCTGAAACAGAAGGTGACCAGGTGTTCTGGGTTTAACTAGCTCGTAGGGTTGAGGTGGGTACTGCCAGGTTGCCCGGCTTTCTGGCATGGAGGGAGGCCCCCTGCACCTCCTGAGGCCCGAGGGCCTTGGTCAGCGGCTGGAGTCACTGCACACACGAGGCCGGTGGGGAGCTGGTCCTAAGGTGACAGGGAAGCTGAGTCGACACTGCCTCCCACGAGGAGCCCATCACGTGGGCCAGGTGGAGGACGCAGCACTCGCCTGGTGGTGTACGGGCCATGGGGGGCGCCCTCCCTCCTGTGCCGGCCCTCACCCTCCGCCCACCCTGGCACCTTGCAGCAGCTCCTCCTCCTTTCTGGACGGCGCCACGTTCTTGGGGAGCTGCAGCAGGTTGTAGAGGGGGTCTGGCTCCATCTTCTCCCTGGTGGAGGCAGGGGACAGAGGGCGTCAGAGTCCCAGAAGCCTCAGCTCACTCCATGCCCATCACGCCTGCACTCCAGACCCCCAGGGACCCGGGCTGCTCCTCCGAGCCCCGCTCCAAGCGAGCTGGGAAGGATATGTGGCTGCCTTTCCCCAGCCAGAAACAGCTGTGCCTCTGAGGGCTGATACTGGGCAGCACCTCCAGTCCTGAGGGGGCAGCGGTGGCCGGTGAGCCACAGGGCTACCCCACTCCACGCAGGCTGGGCTTAAGGAGAGGTGGTCCTGATTCCAAACAAGGGTCCTCTGTGCGGCTTGGAGCCCGCGCCTCTTGGAGGGCTTGGGGCACTCAGGGCTCCTGCCTCCAAAGCCTAAGGCACAAGCCCCACAGGGAGAGGTGGCCTCCCTTCCTTCATCATTGCTATGGGCAGTGCCGGGCCTGCCCATGCCCAGGAGGCAGATGCAAGGGCAGCCAGGCCCCTTCCGGTCCCAGCCACTTCCTCTCTGCAGTTTCCCTGGCTTGCTGATGGCATCTCCCCTCCGTCCACCCATCTTCCCATCCAGAATCTGCCCAGCACCCCAAACCCACCCAGACAGGTGGGGAGGTCACCTGGCAGGAGCCCCAGCAGGAAGCCCCAGCACTGTGGGGAGGTGGAGGCACCCTGGGGCCACTGCCTCAGACTGGCAGCAGCCTCGGGATGCAGCCCCAGGGACTGGCTCTTAGCCCCACATTTCCCCGGTAGGCAGACCTGGAGTCTCCCCTGGTAGCCTCGGGCGAGTCCCTTCCCTGCCCTGGGCTCGGGTTCTTCATCTGCACTGGGATTGCCTCCCTGCCCCACGCACTGCAGGAAGTAGGGGCAGGTGACGGTGGACAGGTGGCCTGGTGGACAGGACGCAGGACAGGCAGAGGGCCCTTTCCGCATCCCTCACCGAGAGGCCTCCGCTCAGACGCCGCTGCCCTCCCGCCCCCAGCCCCTCCCCCAGGGCTTCTCCGGCCTCCCTGTGCCCTGGGGCATCAGCGTGTGGCTGCCGAAAAGGTCCCGGCAGCTGGGGTTCCAGGCCTGGGTCACAGAGACTCACCTAGTTGCTCCTCCAGTCAGAAATGAGGCCTGGGGCTCAGAGGGTGACCCAGGTCACAGCAGAGCAGGTTCCGGTTCCCTGGGGCTCCTGGGGCGGGGGGTGGGCAGCACACGGCAACTGCCACTTCCTCCAGGGCTGCTCGGAGGTGGCCCCATGGGTGCTTCCTCCTCTGTGCAGTTCGG